ACTAATGTTTTTTTTTTTGGCAGTTAAGTAGCTGTTTCTTGATCTGCATGAAGGATGATAGCATTGAGGGAATATATGAAACCTTGAAGGAGTGTGCTGTTATCAGCAAATCTGCTGGAGGAATTGGTGTTTCTGTTCACAATATCCGTGCCACTGGTAGTTATATTCGTGGAACAAATGGGACATCCAATGGCATTGTTCCAATGCTTAGGGTTTTCAATGATACTGCCCGATATGTTGATCAAGGAGGGGGCAAGAGGAAGGGTACATTAAGTTTCCTGTGTCTTGTATAATTTGTTTGCAGTGTGGTTTTCTTGTGCCTATGGTTGACTTGGTTTGTACTGGTTATAGGAGCATTTGCTGTGTACCTGGAGCCATGGCATGCTGATATATTTGATTTTCTGGATCTTAGGAAAAATCATGGGAAGGTATGATGGAGTAGCAAAGCTTTTCCATATCATCTTATTGTTGTTTACTGAATAAAAATAAAATAAAAATGGAGACAATATGATCTTGTAGGAGGAGAACCGGGCAAGGGATCTATTCTATGCACTTTGGGTTCCAGATCTTTTTATGCAAAGAGTACAATCAAATGGGACATGGTCTTTGTTTTGTCCTAGTGAGGCACCTGGCCTGGCTGACTGTTGGGGTAAAGAGTTCGAGGAGTTGTACACCAAATATGAAAGAGATGTAAGTGCAATTTGCGTTATACTTGAAAGTTGAAACCCCTCTCATTACTGGATATTTAGTTATCTGGTAAATCATGTTTGAGAGTTTGATTGTAATAAAACCTGTTTACTTGATCAGGGAAAGGCCAAGAAGGTTGTCACAGCTCAAAGTTTGTGGTTTGAAGTACTAAAATCCCAGATTGAAACTGGAACCCCTTACATGCTCTTTAAGGTAAGCACTCTGAAGTTTTGAGATATGTTTGCATGTTCTATTTCTGTTTATTCCTTAACAGTGTATTGGTTGTTATCTCTGCAGGATACTTGCAACAGAAAGAGTAACCAGCAGAATCTAGGAACAATAAAATCATCCAATTTATGTACTGAGATCATTGAGTATACAAGCCCAACTGAAACTGCTGTGTGTAATTTGGCATCAATTGCACTTCCAAGATTTGTTAGAGAAAAGGTTTGCTGCCTTCCCTTTTTCTGATGTGGATCATATATTCATATGGGTCATCTGTTATGTGGTATTCCTTGTTCTTACAACATTTGCCAATGGTTTCAGGGAGTACCAATGGAATCACATCCATCTAAGATTGTCGGAAGCAGAGGTTCCATGAACAGATATTTTGATTTTGACAAATTAGCTGAGGTATGTGATTTTATTACGTCATAATTAATAGAGCAACCTGCCCTGAGCTCCTTTTCGTAGTTTTCATGTTTCCAATTTTTCAAATCCTTTATTACAGGTTACCCAAGTTGTGACTTACAATCTCAACAAAATTATTGATGTGAATTACTACCCTGTTGAGACTGCAAGGAGATCAAATATGAGGCATAGGCCCATTGGAATTGGAGTTCAAGGCCTTGCAGATACCTTCATTTTGCTAGGCATGGCATTTGACTCCCCAGAGGTAACTATGTTAACAACTGCAGTGGGTTTCCTTTTGTTCTTTTGCTTATCCATTTTCAGTTTAAGCCCAGTCTTGAACTCTGATGACCTTAGTTGTCTAAATAGTTTAGTCGGATGTGCATTTCAGGCTCAACAGCTGAACAAGGATATATTCGAAACAATCTACTACCATTCCTTGAAAGCTTCAAGTGAGATTGCTGCAGTAGAAGGTCCTTATGAGACATATCCCGGAAGTCCTGTCAGTAAGGTATGCCAAAATGCTTGTTGATAATTTCAAAATTGCTATTAACTGATAGTTATGATTGATATGGTCCCATAGTTCTCAGATTTACAGCCATTTACATGTCTGAAATTTTGCAGGGAACTTTGCAGCCAGACATGTGGGGTGTGACTCCCTCAGCTCTATGGAACTGGGACACTCTAAGGGACATGATATCAAAGAATGGAGTCAGGAATTCACTTCTTGTAGCACCAATGCCTACTGCCTCAACCAGCCAGATTCTCGGAAACAATGAGTGCTTTGAGCCGTATACTTCCAATATCTACAGTCGCAGGGTTTTGAGGTACCCCCAAAGAAACTTTACAGTTCATCCATTTTCAGTTAGTCATCTCAATCTCGTAACCGAACTAACTTTGCCTTGTCTTCCAGCGGCGAATTTGTTGTTGTCAACAAACATCTTCTTCATGACCTGACCGAGATGGGTATCTGGAACCCAGCCCTCAAGAACAAAATAATCTACGAAGATGGTTCAGTCCAGAAACTGCCCGAGGTCCCTCATGACCTCAAGCTTATATACAAGTACGTGTATTTTCCAACTCCCACATGCCAATTCCTTCCATATTCTCGCTCTCATGGTTTCGCTAATGCAATTGGTTAATAATTATATCAGGACTGTCTGGGAGATCAAGCAGAGGACTCTTGTCGACATGGCAGCTGATCGCGGTTGCTACATCGATCAGAGCCAAAGCCTTAACATTCACATGGACCAACCCAATTTCGGGAAGCTCACTTCCTTGCATTTCCATACCTGGACCAAGGTATGCAATATTATTGAGATCAGCAACTGTACATACACCGACACCTTTCGAGATCCAACCATGAAACCTCATACGGTCACGTTCTGTTTTCATGCAGGGTCTCAAGACGGGAATGTACTATCTGAGGTCGCGTGCAGCAGCTGATGCCATCAAGTTCACCGTCGACACTACCGATCTCAAGGTAAAAAAAGAAAGAAAGAAAGGATGCTTATTATCACTCCATTGAGTATCTTGTATCTTGCATTCTTTGTTTTGATCTCTGTAGTCACTAATGGTTTTTTACACAGGACAAGAAGCAAAAAGTGGAGGAGGTTGAAGATGATGGCACCAAGATGGCGCAAATGGTTTGCTCTTTGAACAACCGTGATGATTGCCTAGCCTGCGGGAGTTGAATGAAAATGGCGAGTGAAGTTAGTCCCGTAGCTTTGACCACATCTCGTGAAAGGATGTTGGTTATATTCTACTGGCTTATTATTCCGAGTAGTGATTTTATATACAGTAGAGTAGTAGATGAGTTGGGGAAGTGATTCTGTATAGGCTTATGTATCATCAGTTCCTGGATCATTATTATTAGTATGCCAATCACAGAATGAGATTGGAGTTGGTATGTAGCTGTGTAATGAAAGGTTCTCTCTCTTTCTGACATCTGTTCTTGTTTGCCAATGATTGATTGAGAATGGTTGGCTATAGGACGATGCCATAAGAGAAATTCGTGGATCTCATGTATTTGTAAATTCTATTTATAGGTATGAGATATGGGACATAGTACTAAGTTCATAATGATCATTTACTTTTATATTTAAAAGCTATAAATACATAACAAATTCGAGGTTTTTCAAAATGTAAGTATATTTTAATCAAAATCTTCATTTTTCAAATACAACAAGCAAATGACTCTTTAAAACAAGAGCTAGAGGTTTGATGCTAGTTATTGGGATATAGAGATAATACTATAGTTGTGAGCAAAAAAGTTGAGAGAGAAAGTTGAGAGAGGAAAGCTCTCCCATCTCTCCACCCCTCTTCTTCTGTTCTTTTGAATTTCATAGCTGTTACTCTGTCCGTGTGTGAGACTGAAAATGGATCTCTTCGGGGAGGCCACCGTCCCGGACCCCAAACCGCCGGATATCTCCTTGGCAACCACACCAGGCCAGCCCAGTAAGAAGGCGAAGGCGACCTCCTCAAATGATTTCTCCGGGGAAGGATCCATGGACTTTGTAGTGGTGACTGCTACTGCAAAAGATGGTCAGATCTCAGAAGATGAGGAGATGGGCACAGAGGTTCACGCCGGAAAGGAAACAGACGTACAATCAGAAGAGAAGAAAGACAAAATTGGAAGTGATAGAAGCCATCCCAGGTCGAGGAGTCCTCCTACGGGCAGAAGGACTGGCTCGTATAAAGACTCGGTGCTAGGTAACCTTACCTCCGCTTGCAATTTCGAAATTAATGATCTAATGTCTGATGAATCAGATGATGAAAATGGAGAGGATGATCCAGAGTGGCCAACTATTAGAGTAAAGAAGAGAACAAACACGAGAATACAGAGCAGATGGAACAGAGCCATCACGTTCCGAGTTCTGGGAAAGCATTTCCCGTTTGCATTCGTACACAGACGCATCCAAAAGATGTGGGCGAAATCTGGAGGAGTCAAGGTGGGCGACATCGGGAACGGGTACTGCCAGGCAATCTTCGACTCCCAATCCGATCACGATCGAGCACTCTACGGCGGCCCATGGACCATCGACGATCACTACATTGTGGCGGAGCCGTGGAGACTTGATTTCGATCCGGACTTTGACACTATCGACCACATCATGGCCTGGGTAAGATTACCCCGCTTGCCTCTCGCCTACTTCGATGAAGAGATCGCCTACTTCGATGAAGAGATCCTCACAGACATAGGAAACAAATTGGGGAAAGTTCAGAAAATCGACTACAACACAGCTAATGGTTTTAGGGGAAACTTCGCCAGAATATGTGTGGAACTAGACCTAAGGAAAAAGCTGGTCTCAAAATACAGACTTAAGAGAAGGGTCCACAGGGTGGAATACGAGGGACTTCACACAGTTTGCTTCAGCTGTGGTCTTTACGGGCACCTTGAAGAGAACTGCCCCTCCGTGAAAGGAACAGAAAACTCACCAACAGTTTCAACTTTGGGAGTGAAGGAGAAGGAGGAATTGTCTCAAGCCATTAGACCCGAGGTCTTGGAAGATTATGGTCCTTGGATGCTTGCAACTAGAACAAGAAGACCCAGGATCCTGAAGAAGAGCAATGCTACTGTTGAGACATCGACAAACACTGCCCCTGAGGGAGAGAAATTGAAAACAGGATCAAGATTTGAAGCGTTGGTGAACGAAGAGGAGGAGATAGGAGAGGGCACCCCCATGGAAGTGGATTGCCAACAGAACAAAACAGTCCATGAATCTACCCTAGAAGCAGACACTAACAAATCTGTCGTTACAGGGAGAAAACAGTGGAGCTCAGCCACACAAGACCCAAGCAAGAGGAAGGAACATGGGAAACCTGAAAGTGCAAACACCAAAGGAAAATCTTCAGAGCAGGATAAAATCATTAGGAAAGAAATTCAGAAAATCTCCCCAGAAGGGGTGAAACAAAAGAGCAGGAACACTATCTCAGAGAAAAAAGAAAGAGCTAGCTCATCACAAAAGGAGCCAAAACAAAAACAGATCAAGGTCTCGACACCTAATCCACAGCAACCTGGACAGAGTGCTAGCATGAATGATTCTAAAATTCCTGCGGGGCATGTTAAACCAGGAAAGGAAAAGGGACTAACCAAAGAAGCCAGCTCTGGCCACCAGCCAAAGATGAAAACGCTATCCTCTACAGCTTCAGGTAAAATATCAGGAAAGGCTGAAAAGGCTACACCAGAGAAGGGAAACATCAAAGGAAGGAAAATTGAATTTGCCCTTAAACAGGCGAGTGCGAAGTCTGTGCTGGAAGATGCTCAGCACCCTAAGGCCATCTTCACTGATGAGGCTAAAGGAAGTAGTGAGACGGCCATGGCCGTCGATCTTTGTTGATCTTTGGACTCTGAGTCCTGTAGGGAAGCACTTAACCAACCTTTGCCATGGTTAAAATCTTCTCATGGAATTGCAGGGGTGCAAAGCACCACAAGTTTCTTCCATATTCATGCTTTTTAAGACTAACTACAAGCCTGATGTGATGTGCATCTTGGAACCCAGAATCAGCGGGGAGGAAGTAGCTAAGGTTATTAAGAGGCTAGGTTTTGATTCTTCTGCCGTCTCTGAGGCAACTGGTTTTAGTGGTGGTATTTGGGTTCTTTGGAATGAGTGTGACATGAAGCTCTAAGGAGTGGATATTCACAAGCAATTCATCAACCTCAGATGCTATTTTGGCCAGAAGGAGAGGTTGCAAATGACTGTAGTGTATAGTAGTCCGAATGAACACGACCGAGTGGAGCTTTGGGAGTCTATTAGAACCATTGAAAAGGACACCACCATGCCTTGGATTCTGACCGGAGACTTCAACTCCATTACCAGAGCCAGTGAAAAATAAGGAGGAGCTACTTTCAGCTCCCCTAAGGTCCGTGCTTTCTGTGACTGTATTGAGGATTGTGGTTTTCTTGACCTTGGCTTCTCTGGCCCGAGGTTTACTTGGTTCACAAGAAACTCTGGTATCAAGGAAAGATTGGATCGCAGCCTGTGTAACCTTGATTGGCATCACAGGTTCCCTTCCTCCACTACTTTCCATCTACCTAAAATCAAGTCTGACCACATGCCAATCATGACATGCACCTCTAACCAAATTGTTCACCAGAAACTAAAAAGAAGGTTCTAGTTCCTGGCCTCCTGGCTTGCTCATGAGGATTTCCCTTCATTTTTGTCCTCTTCCTGGAACATTGGAGGAGACTTTCTCCATTCTCTTCATCATCTCTCGGAAGATCTACAAAAATGGAACAAGGAAGTCTATGATAACATATTCCAAAGGAAGAGGAAATTGTTGTATGAACTGAAGTCCCTTGAAATGATCAACGAGAGAAGTGCCTCCGTTAGATCCAGGGGAAAGGAAAGACAAACCAGGGAGGAGCTGGAGGAAACACTATGGCAAGAAGAGATGATTTGGATCAAGAAATCCAGATCCAATTGGGTTGTCTTTGGTGATCTGAACACTCACTATTTCCATACCAGCACTCTCAGTAGAAGAAAGAGGAACAAGATTACTTGCATGCGTGATGAACAAGGTCAATGGGTTGCTGATGCTGACACTTTGCTCTTCATGGCAGGGAGTATTTTCTCAACCTCTTTACTAAGAATATTTCTGCCCCTGGATGTAGATTACCTGCTTGCTTTCCAGAGTTAGATGCTTGTTTTGTAACCAGCCTGTGCACCCTACCTAGGATTGAGGAGATCAGAGGGGTGGTTATGGAGATGAATGGACTCAAAGCTCCTGGCAAAGATGGCTTTCATGCCATGTTCTACCAGAAATGTTGGAATGATGTGGGCAATGACTTCTGTGCTTTCATTTCCTCCTGTTTTAGGAACCCAGATAGAATTCAATGCATTAACGAGACCTTCCTCACTCTGATTCCTAAAATTGATTACCCCTCCTCGATGTGTCAGTTTAGGCCAATTAGTTTATGCAATGTTGGCTACAAAGTGATTGCCAAACTGATTGCTAACAAACTGAAACCCTTAATGTCTATGCTTGTGAATAAGAACCAATCCAGTTTCATTCCCAAGCGCCACATTACTGATAATATCATTATCTTGCAGGAAACCATTCATTCAATGGCAAGGAAAAGTGGAAAGAAGGGCTTTATCGTTCTGAAAATCGACTTAGCCAAAGCCTATGACAGGATTGAGTGGGACTTCCTGGAGGAAACCCTCAATGCTGCTAGGATTCCTGCCAACACTGTCAACCTGATTATGAAATGTGTGACTACTACTAGCTACCAGGTTCTGTGGAATGGAGGTGAAACTGAAAGTTTCAAGCCCTCTAGAGGCTTAAGACAGGGATGCCCCCTCTCTCCCTATCTTTTTACCCTTTGCATTGAAAGATTGAGTCACTGTATTGATATTGAAGTTAAAAATGGGAAATGGAACCCTATTATGTTGTCTCCAGGAGGGCCTGCCCTCTCCCACCTATTTTTTGCTGATGATCTTTTGCTATTTGCTGAAGCTAACCCTCAACAGGCTGATGTTGTGCTCCAGTGCTTGGATTGCTTCTGCCAAGCATCAGGTGAAGCTGCCAGTAAAGAGAAATCCAGAGTTCTGCCAAGCATCAGGTGCAACCTGGGTTCTTGCTCTATCACGGCTGCAGAACTCAAAGGTGTCTTGGAAGCCCTCAAAATTGCTTGGAAGGAAGGTTACCGAAAGATTGAGCTTAAGCTTGATTCTACTACTGCAGTTGACATCATAAAACAATGTGATAGAGATGATCATCGACATGGAAGCATAGCTAAGCAGTTTGATTTTTTTCTTAGTCTTGATTGGAGGTTTGTGTTTCCCATGTGTTTAGGGAAGCGAATTTTGCGGCCGATTACTTGGCCAGCAAGGCTCACGATTTCGATTTTGGCACACATCGCTTCAATGTGTGCGATAGAGACCTTGTTCAATGGCTCAGCCATGATGTTTTGGGAACTTCCCATGATCGTAATTTTAATGTAAACTAGACGCAATGCGTCTACCTTTCTACCCAAAAAAAAAAAGAGATAATACTGTACTGAATCTGTCAATGTTTAGTATTATCAAATACACGTATTATTTCATGGAATTGATATTGAGATTGAATTTCAAATGTTATTTGGTTGTAGAAATTATATGATTGGGATTGATATATACTGAAATATACCGATCGATAGTTGGCTCGAATTATCGAGCGGAGCCCACCAGGTTGCTCAGTCCAGCTTGCCCTCTCCTCCAGCCTCACGGCCCGGGCCCTCAGCTCAACAGCCACTTACGACTGGGCCTCCATCTACCCAGCCCACCCCCTCTGGGCCCATTCTCCACTCCGGTACCACCCTCTCCACTTCCGCCCCCCCGCCTTTTTCTGCTCGGCGTCGGCGCCCTCCATCACACACCGGCTAAGTGATCAACTCTAAAACCTTGCGGGAACACTTCAGAAGCTGAAACGGAGAACTCAGAAGAGGGAAGAGAATGGAGCTTGCATTCGTTAATCCTTCCTCAGCTACGTTATTCGCCCCTGCCAAAGCTTTACCAAGCTTGTTTAAGCATAGTTCCATCAGGGTTTTCAATGTCCGCTGCATTTCTAACTCAACCGCTGGAGCCGCCGCAGGTGGTAATTTTTTTTCCTTTCTTTCTAATTTCATTTTTTTCCCAAGTTGCTTTTTTGGTTCCTTTGTCGTATGAATATCTCTAACGAAGGAGGTGTTTATTGAAGGGATTTTTTTTTGCTAAAGACTTCATTTTTAATGGTGGATTTGTTAGGTGTTCTGGAAAGGCCTTGGAAAACTTCAGATGCTAGGCTTGTGCTTGAAGATGGCTCAGTGTGGAAGGCTAAGTCCTTTGGTGCCACTGGAACCCAAGTTGGTGAAGTCGTCTTCAACACCTCCTTGACAGGGTAAATACTCAGAAACCCAAGTCCTCGTTCTTTGATTTAATTTGATTACTTTTATTCACTGGTTTTATGTGTAGTATCAGTGGGGTGGGTAAATTTTGGTGAACTAGTATGATTGAAGGAAGGGTTGGAATAACACTTTGCTTGTGGTGTGGTTCTTCAACTAGTCAAGACTTAAGAGAGTGTAGTCACGATGTAATCAGCTAGTTACCGAGAGATGAGATTGATGTTCGATACTATGTAGTCTTTTCATCGATTTGATATGCTATTTGATGTTACTTTGTTCTTGTGAGCTGTATGTTTGATTGGAGATGTGTGTAATTATCTTCATATACTACTTTCAATGGGCATCTGCAATTACTTTTTGTAGTATGATGTATGTGCATTCTGTACAGGTATCAGGAGATCCTAACAGACCCTAGTTATGCCGGTCAATTTGTGCTGATGACAAACCCACATATCGGCAACACTGGTGTAAACTTTGGTATGTGGACCATCGATGAAGCTATGTTTATATAATCCGAAGGCATGGGTGCATTATCAACTTAATATGGATTATTTGAGCCTAATTGATCTAAAACATTAATTGGTTTAAGCAAATGTGTGTTGGTTAAGTTTGTGGGGATTATAGATGCTAGAAACGTGGGTCAGCTGAATTATGAATCCATGAATAACAGTATCTAAAACTTGGTCTTAGTGCATTTCCTACCTATAATGATTGCTGATACTAAAAAAAGTTAAAAAGCTCTGTGCAGAAAGAAGTGTTTTGAATGTTCAAATCATTTGAATGATGATCCTACCTGGTGAATTGACAAAGTGGCCTCATGGCCGTTAAACTTTCTGTTCTGTTGGTGTATATATTCATTGCTTCCAAACTCTCTGTTCTTGTTGTCAGATGACGAAGAATCAATGCAATGTTTCCTTGCTGGCTTGGTAATCAGGAGCTTAAGCATAAGGTACTTTTTTGTCTGGATCTACCTGCTTCGTCTGCTGGCTTATGGGTTCTTGCTTCTATATGACTTATTCTTCGTGCAGTACCTCAAATTGGAGATGCACCAAAACTCTCGGCGATTATTTAACAGAGAGGAACATCATGGGAATATGTAAAGCTCTAACCATTGTCATTTTGTTAAACTCGATCAAATTAAGTTGCTTGTTATTTATATTTGAATTATAATCTATCTATATGTGCCTTTTGATATAATAGATGATGTGGACACTCGTGCAATTACTCGGAGATTGAGGCAGGATGGAAGTCTTATTGGCGTGCTCAGCACAGAAGAAGTGAAGAGTGATGAAGAACTGCTTGAGATGTCCCGCTCATGGGATATTGTAGGTAATGACTCACCCTTGACTGTTGAACTTGGATACTTGAGAAAAAACATCCCTTAATTGTTTTGGCAGGTGTTGATCTAATAACTGGTGTCTCGTGCAACAAACCATATGAATGGGTTGACAGAACAAGCCCAAATTGGGATTTTAACAACGAAGGAAGGGGGGAGGTCTTCCATGTAAGTAGTACTCCCCGGTTTATGTTCTTATTCGTTTATGATGATCTTTTACGCTCTTTTCACGGTTATGTTTTCCATGAATTCAAGGTTGTTGCATATGATTTCGGGATCAAGCATAACATACTGAGACGCTTGGCATCATATGGCTGCAAAATCACCGTAGTCCCTTCAAACTGGCCAGCTGCAGAAACTCTGAAGATGAACCCAGATGGAGTTCTTTTCAGCAATGGCCCAGGAGACCCATCTGCAGTTCCTTATGCAGTTGAAACAGTCAAGAACATAGTGGGTAAAACTCCAGTTTTCGGAATTTGCATGGGCCACCAGTTGCTTGGACAGGCATTAGGCGGTAAGACCTTCAAAATGAAGTTTGGCCACCACGGAGGAAATCATCCGGTTAGGAATATTCGAGCTAACCGTGTTGAGATTAGTGCTCAGGTTAGCGCTGCATATCTTCAGTATCCACAGAAACACACATTGGCTTTCAGTTTCAATCTTCCACTGTCTTTTCTATTTGATTGATATAGTACGACCTGAACTTTTCTCCGCGGCATATTCCATGACAGAATCATAACTATGCTGTCGACCCTGCATCACTCCCTCAAGGTGTAGAAGTGACTCATGTCAATCTTAACGATGGCAGTTGTGCCGGACTTGCTTTCCCTGCATTGAAAGTGATGTCTCTTCAGTATCATCCCGAAGCGTCTCCAGGCCCTCATGACTCAGATTCTGGTAACTAACTATTCCCTCCCCTTTCGTTTCAGTCACAAGCCTGTGTCCCCTTTTGTTCAATATGCTGCTATCCTGCTACTACCAAAGTAGTATTGTGATGGTCCTTTCTACTTTACAATCCCCTCTACCATAGCAGTGACTTCACCATTTCCAATTTTTTTTTTTTCCATGCACCAGTCTTCGGAGAATTCATCGTGCTAATGAAGCAATGCAAACAGCAAGCATGAGCGACATTCCCTCTTGCACCAGCAGAAGTAGGTAATTTCTGGGGTTCGTTTGCCGGTAGATCAGCTAGTTTGTCAATATATCAGTTCCTCCGACAAAGTACTCGTAGTTTTGCGCTTTCTTCTATCCGAAACTTTGTGTAACAGATCCCTTAAACATTGGGGGAAGATCAAAGATAAATGTAGTTTTGTCACAGACGTTATTTGCCTGCAGGCTTGCACAGCATTGACAAATGACAAGAAACTAGCCATTCTGTATTACGTTTTACTACGAGCACGAGTTATGCCGAGCAAGGACTCGTAGCCTATAGGCAAATATGTGTAGCAGTATGTGCCTCGCCAACATGATTTAAGTATAAATTTATCTTAATTTTGACGAACGATTCCTCGAGTTACGGTCATTTTCGATCACAATTCAGAACTCATTAATAATGCCAACGAACACGAGTTTGAGTTCTTGACCAATGGGATGTTTTATGTTTATAAATAACGGGAAGAAAGGTCGGTGATCTTGATGGGGTTATGGTTCGAACTTCTGGTTGGACGGAAGTTTGGAACCGGCCTGAGGAAAAAAACCCATAGTTATGATTCAAGGAAAAAGGACAGGTCAAGAAAGAACATCAGAATCAAAATCGTGATCCCTCCAACCCTCGAAAAGCTCCTGTCACCGAAAATTCTTATATGTAGAAGTAGTACCCTAAAATCCATTGATGTTGATTGTGAATTCCTCTCTCTTAATACAAACTTTCAACTCGAAAATGACTCCCATAATTAAGTAGTTGTTCCATTGATGTTGATTGTTGAATTCCTCTCTCTTAATACGAACTTTCAACTCGAAAATGACTCCCATAATTAAGTAGTTGTTCCAGTAACCACAAATCTCGTGTCTACAACTCTAGCGGGTGAAAGAAACAATTCATTGGTATAAGAAGTTTGTGTTGTTGGAAAAAAAAGGGTTAAAACCGTAAATCTCAGTCCGTGAATAACCGTTTAAATACGACATAATCAGGGTGAAAATCAAATTCAAAAGATTTTATTGGCTAGAGATAGAACTTGAACCCAAATATTGTGGGTGGCGGGTTGGCATAATTTTCTCAGCATCCAATTCGAACTCGCTCGATTATACACATGTGCATAATTTTTTTTAAATAACCATTTTTCTCAACATATTTGATATGTATCCGTTAGAAACATGGTTTCGGACCGCGGGTGTTGTTTTGGATTTATTTGTCGTTTTATAATTATTTGGATGTTAGTCGGTTATTTCGGGGATATTTTGTTAACAAGTATTACTTTGCTTAGTTATAAGAAATTTATCGGGTTATATATTCTGTATTAGTGCGGTTTTTCTCATTAAGGAATAACAGAACAATTATTCCCTAAACCCTAAATCACTACTCTCTCTCCCTTCCCTTGTAGCCGTTCGCCCTCCTCTTCCTTGGAAGATCGATTTCTTTCTTCTTTCTCAAGCTTCTCCTTCCAATCCCTAATTTTTACTTCAATTCCCAATTCAACTTAGCCAATCATCGATACACAAACCCTAGACGTCCACACCTAGATCCGTGTTTCTTACAGTATCATATATATATATAAAATATTTTAATGAAATTATATTGTTTTTAACTAATTTCTTCGTTCTAGTAATTTATTGTTTACTTATGCAATATTAAAATACGTGTATTTGTTAACATGTTTGTTGAAGTTGTAAATATAAATGATTATCCATGGATGACGGTGAATACTCGAAACCCGATTGAGTATGAGTATAGTTTTGATATTAAACCCATTTCTTGTATAGTGTGGATATGAATAAAACCCAAACTATTTTAAATAGGATAATAATAAATATGCACTATCCACCGGTCTGCCATTCCTTAATCTTAGGAATTAAAGTAGGTGGAAGGCATTGTTTACCTTATCGATATCATCTTACATGTCCAAGGGAGAAATTAGTTTGCTGGTTTCCAAAGTCAATCGAGTACTAATTACACAAGTTTGAAAGAAAGAGAATGGTATTATGTCAAAAGGGATTTTAAAAGGAAGACTAGAGAAAACCCAAGACCAAGTCTAAAGCAAGGGAGGGTTTCTTCTTCTTTCTGCCGGTTGGTTCTCGCCGGTGTTGAGTTTGGACTTTGGACCTACCATCCTCAGAAGATTGATTCTAGCTCTGTAGGGGATTAATCGACCAGCTCATTTTTTTGACGTGCCTCTACTTTGGGTTAGATTCTCGTGATTTTATTTTTTACATATCAAGATAACTTCGAAGTTAGACGTGCTCAATATCAGAAAAAATGAATGATGACAACTAAATGTCTAAATTAATTCATTGAATGAACATTTTGCTATGTTTTTTCAAACTTGGAGAGCTCCAATTGGGGCCAAGATCATAATGCATACCATTTTTTTTTTTTTTGCATTTTTTAATAATTGTTTTAAGCTGTCAAAGTGATTTGCTTGAGAGAGAAGAATAATAGATAAAAGAATGGGGGAATTAAAGTAAAAGAATAATTCTAAAGAGGACGTCATAGTTGATTGATATATTTAAGAAGACCATGCATGTGTATATATGCGAAGCATGATTGATTTTTCACTCACTTCATCATTCAATCCTACCTAATGTTTGATCAGGATTAAGAATTAAATAAGATTCTCCCCATAATCCGCCCTATGAACAATGGAGGCGCTATTATGTAATTCAAATTATTTTCAAGAATAATAAAATGAAAATGATTATAGCATTGTTATTTAAAATTAATATATTTATAGTATTGTTATTTGAATTTAAATTATCTATTAGTTCTCTCTAATATCATGTTCTCCACGAGATCATATCTAATGTCTCACGCGCGTGTACGATTAACCAAAATTTCATTATCTAGATCACATATTAACTAGAATTTAGATCATGCTACTGTATCATAGTTCTTATTGGATCAATCCCAGATCTTAGTTTTCTAAATTCAAATCATAAGATCAATTCGATAAAAATCATAATAACTAACTCCTATAGTACAATGTTATAACTGCGCTGCTATGGATCGGTAAATTGTCGGAATAGAGAAAGCAAGAATACGAAAACAGAAAGCACACGATACACGATTCACGTGGTTCACTAACACGATGTGTGTTAGCTAGTCCACGGGCAAGAGAGTCAGTTTCACTATATCGAGGAGATTACATATTACAGAGGAGATGATAAGTATTTATACTTCTCCATATGGGTCTAAACCTAATCCAATATGGTAAAGGAAACGGTTACACACTAGGCCCAGAACCCGAACCCAAATAACATTGAGCCCGTACATCGTGGGCCGGGATAGTTGCCCCCACACCCCCATCGGGGCGTTGCCCCTGAACCCCACTCGCCGACCGGTCAGAGAGACCCCCGACTATTCTAGTCGTAGCGGATGATAGTCCAATTCAAGTCACATCAACAAATCTCCACCTTGACTTGAATCCTCTTCCTCTGAAATCTTTGATGTACTCTGCTCCTTCTCTCTCTCTCCTGCCATCAATGCCCCGTAGGGCGGAGTCACCCACTCAAGACATTCAGCAAGTCCAAGCAGTGTTGGAACTTGCCATGTGGAACCGGCTACGTGAACATGTTAGCAAGATTATCCGCGGTGCCAACCTTCTTCACCTTAATCCTCTTCTCTGTGCTCAAGAAATGATACCTCACGTCGATGTGCTTAGTGCTCTCATGGTGGACTTGATCCTTGGCCAAGTGATAGACCGTTAATTGCACATGTTTTTACCCCTATTCTTGAGCCGTTTGAGATGTTGATTCTTGTGTTTTAGGCCGATTTCACGCTAGGTTGTTCCTGTTTGTGATATTTCAGGTCCTAGTACGTGAATGAAGGTTTGGGAACGAGTTCGGGGTCGATTGGACGAAGAGTGGACATTTGGCGAGAAGCTGATGGAGCCACACGGGCACGCCTAAAAACTAGACGGCCGTGTGACCTGCCGTGTGACATCAAATTGCACGGGCAAAATCACACGGGCCGTGTAGGGGACCACTTGTGGACATGTGGAAATTCCAGGGAACTCACACGGACAGCCTGGAAATCCACACGGCCGTGTGCCCCTGGCCGTGTAGAAAGCCTGGAAGTCACTTATCGAAACGTCCCGTTTTGCACAACTCACACGGGCAGCTGGGAAAGCCACACGGCCGTGTGGCCTGCCCGTGTGGTCGGGAATTTCTGGGTTTTAACCCAAATTCGAGCCAAAGGAGAAGGGAATCGACTTTTTGGAGCAAAAACAGAGCCCAAGAGAGAGAAAGTGCGAAGAACACCCCCTAAGAATGGTTTTGGAGCTGGGTTTCATCAATCAAGCTTGGAATCATCCTTGGAGTGGAGATCATCATCCCAAAGCAGATTCTTCCCATTGTTATGAGTATGACTGCTTTGTATTTTGTTTCCCTCTCTCTCTCTATGGAGTATAACTCTCTCACTTGGGTATGAAGAACCCTAGTTCCATGTGTTAGGGATCTTGATTGTAATGACTTGGGATTGTTATACCGTTTGGTTTTAATCGAATGATGCATGATTCATTGAATCAATTGAAGTCTGATCATCTTCTCTTGATTTCTGCTGCAACCTTAGATAGATAGAATCTGATTAGGTTGTTAGAGCTTCATCATTCATTAGTGGTAGATTGGTTATACGCGAGTTAGTCAATCTACTGCTTTGTACTGAAATCCAATTCCAATAGTGGAGTTCTGTGTTCATTGCCTCAGCGTTGTATCTCAGTGAATACTAGTCGTCTGCCGGGTAGTTGGACTGAGAGGGCTTGGTAAGCTTAAAAGATTCCAAGCTACTGTCGGATCTTCCGCAGTTTAGTCAACAGTAAATCAACCCAGGGTAATTACAACTGAGACCTAACTAAGAAGCTAGGGGGACTCATTCCCGAGTGACTCTTCCTTTGCTTTAGAAAACCAAATCATTTCCTGCTTTCTTACTGCTTTTAGTTAAAACCACAATCACTCGACTTATTTGGCTAGATAATAGATATTCACGGAGTAGGAAGTAGATCTAGACCCCGGGTTGATAATTAGAACTTGCCACTTTACTGCATTCCCGGACTGCGATTACACTTGGTCGCAGTTTGGTGTTGTGTTTTAACGTGTCACCAAGCATATTGCACTCAAACTGTTGCAATACACCACTGCCTGATCATGATGTAGACCCAGATCACCAACCAGTCCCTTCAACCATATTCCCTCTTTAGCAGCTTTGTCAACGCCATATACTCTGCCTCAGTAGTAGACAATGTCACCGCCGACTGTAGAGTTGCCTTCCAGCTCACTATAGAACTCCCAAGAGTGAATACATAACCGGTCATCAATCTCCTCGTATCAACATCTCCAGCATAGTCC